TCATTCTTATTTGATCCAGAATGAATTATGATTATTAGAATAATTCATATTTAATCAAGGCTTGCTCTGATCCTTAGCAATTTCAATTTTCCAGGACTTGAGTGAGCCACATCTGAACTTAATCCTCACATAATCCTACTTCCATTAGGATTTGGTCGAATTAACCCTTTATTGAGCTAAAAGCCTACTAGCCTAAGATATCTTTACTAAGGCGAGGATTGTGAATTTTCAACTCGGGTTAGCCCATGTCGGCCCAAACAGTGTACCACGTCAAAACTATAATAGAAAATTAACAAAATTGGATTACAAATATTACTTTAATGAGTTAGGTCAATTTTAAACATGAAATTAAGAAACTTAACTAATAAGAACATCTCCAATAAGAAGCATTATATGGAGCTAGAAAAGTGGTGGATATAGCCCATTTTAGAGCCTCGAGGAATCTTTAGGCTCTAAAAAAGAATCTCCCTTAGTGAGGAGCTATACCTTTTGGGCTCTGTATGAGGCTCTATATTTATATTTGTGTTAACTTGATTACGCGGTTTTTTTTTTTTTTTTGTGAACTTTTCATAAGTTGAATTTTGGACGTGTTATCTTATATATATTTATTAACTTTTCAACCTAAAAAAAATCAAATTCTGATAAAATTAGATTTCATCACTTGTGAACCATTGGTTTGCTTCTTTGAAATCAGACAAGATAAGATTTCATCTCATAACAACCATTGGATTGGATTATCTTATCTCAATCTCATCTGATGGTTTATTTCTTCGATTGGCACATTCTCTAATGGTTTATTTCTCTGATTGGATTATCTAATCAGCTTTATTTCCAAAGTGACTTGGTACTACTAAAATTGTTTTTTTTTTTTTTCATAAAACAGCAGCATGCCTGTTTTAGATTTACATTTTCCTATACTTTCCGAACTTGAAAATCCATGAAATTTTAACACAAGTTAGTTTTATATGTCTACTTTGGATCTGCAAATTTTCATACTTTTTGGTTAGACGAGTTATGTTTAGTGAATTTTACGGTACAGATCGGTTCTGCAATTTGTATTACAGCAAGAAGTCTTAAACTTTGTTTCTTAAAATTAACTTTGTAGTTTGGTTTTATGTATTTGTTGAGTTTAAATTTTCATTGACATAATCTTCAGCTAATATTTGTTTTACGTCCATAAACAACCACGTTGTTCTATTTATTTCTCTTAATCTCACAACTCGAGTTTTGGGGTGTGACAATTTTGGTATCAGAGCCTAGGGAGTAGAATAGGGTTGAGTCTAGAAGTTTTAGCTGAATGGGTCTTTTCTTAGGGAGTCTAGCGAAGTTTGTTATGGTCGAATAAATGTTTCTACATCTTCTCAGGATTGAAGGATGTCCGCTGTATCCAACGTTATTGGTCATGATGGGGATGAACAAATGAATATTGATCATCAAATGAATGATCTGGGAGTTAATGTGGTGAATTGAAGACTGGCATATTTGAAAGATTTTCAAAAGCTAAATCCTCGTAACTTTGGTGGAACCGCTGAACCTTTAGAGGCAGAGTCTTAGCTTAAACAAGTGAAAAAGAAATTAGATGTTTTGAGAATTCCAGAGGATTTTAGGGTGAAGTTTGCTACCTATTTGTTTATCGGTGAAGCAGATCATTGGTGGGACTACATCAAGAGAACTGACATTGTTGCAACCATGACTTAGGCTAATTTCGAGAAGACCTTCTATGGCCAATACTTCCCTCAAACCATAAAGAATGCAAAGTTGAAAGAATTTGTTGAGCTAACTCAAGGTGAGCGATCTCACGGTGACTCAATATGCAGCTAAATTTACACAACTCTCTCATTATGCACCACTACTAGTTACTAATAAGGAGGATAAAACTAACAGATTCGTTGACGGTCTCATACGCCCTATATGGAAGATGGTTGTCGCATTGAGGCTGACAACCTATGATAGGGATTTTACTACTCATGTGAACGGGCTAAAAACTCCTATTATACTTCCAAGAATCACAAGGTTGTTGTAGTATAAACGAATTTCGCAAGGTCGTTCTCCACATGGATTATTAAATAATTCAAAGCAAATCAAATTTCAATTAATTATTGTAAAGTAGAAATTGAGGTGATTTAAAAAAACAAATTTAATTAATAAAAATAAGACAATCTGCAATATTAGAACTGGGGAAAAAGAAAACAGTTTTGGAAGAAATCAAATTAAGAAAGCGCTAGGGTTCCACCATCACCTAGCAATCCTATGAACTTTTACCAATTACTTATGATCTACACATGCCATTTTGAATGTTAGATTTTCATAATTCATATTCTACTTGGAACCTCCAACATAGAACATATATCTAACATGCAACCCGTCCAGACGTTCGGATCAAATCTGAACATGAAAGACTCATTATGCTTTATGAAAACCCTTTGAAAAACCATGCAACCCTTAAGACGTGGTATTCATCCTAAGTGAAATTACAATTATTAATCACAAGAAGCCATCGTCAATTTCAGGGAACCTTCCAACCAAAATTGCATCAAATTACTTTTCTAAAGATCCTAAAGGTGATCAGGCATTAAAACAATTAGAGAGTTTTTGTTGCGGTGATTAACAATTCAAAGTATGCATGCAATCAATCATAAGCAATTAAATAAAAATCACATGTTTATGCTAAGGCTCAAGGCTTCGCCCTAGCAAAAGAAATTAGTTACGCATAATCATAATTGAAATCATAGAAAATATTATTAAGAAAATGATTGAAAACACCTTCAAGTAGAAAATCTCCAAAACCCTAGCAATTCTCTCTGTTTCCAAAATTGCATAAAATAAAGCATACGTAAACCTATAGACGGCCAAGCAATATATCTGCCAAGCCCCCACACAAACCCTAAAAGCAGGTCCTTTATTCCCCCTAGGAAACTAAAATTAATAATCAAATAAAATAGGAAACAAAATCCTAAATTAAATGGGGACCCATAAGCTACTCCAAAACTGGCCCAATATAGCTGGATCTAATGTTTGGAATATTCTGAATACTTCTCCAGAAGGCTACGAACCCATCCGAGGTCATCTTGGGCTCCAAAAAAAGCAATTTAAGTCCAAAAACGTCATTTTCCAGCACTGCGCATCGCTCCTTTATTTTATCGCCAGAAAATAACCGCTTGGTGGAAAAATCCAAAATTTTGATACGATCAAGCAAAGTGACTCACAAACGTTTTTCAACTAGAATTACTCCAAAATTCGTCCATTTGGTCCTATTTTTCTCCAGAGGAAGTCGAAAGTCCTATATTGGAAATACAATTCAAAGTATCAAAATTCTTCCAAAATATTGACCAAAATATACTAAGATTAGGGTAAAACATATAATATAAATCTACTCATCAAAATATCCCCAAACTTAGCTTTTTGCTTGTCCTCAAGCAAAACAAGACTCAAACAAAAATAAAAACTTAACAAACTAGACAACTAGCTAAAATTAACTGACAAAAATTTTCACCTTCAAAGTTGCAATCCATAGCAAATGTTAAAAACTAGAACATCTTTTCAAAAGTTCCAACCAATCCCACCACAGAGTCTAAACCATTTAGAATCAATTAGAAAAGAATTCACAAACTTCCTTTGGTGTAAAGTGAACCAACATAGTTAAGGAGACTCGACTAAAACTCTTACCTCTCGTCCTTTTTTATTTCACACATACTAACTTTGAATATAACTATTTTTCTTTTTCTTTTTCAAACTTTTTTTCTTTTTTTTATCTCATTTATAACTTTTTTTTTTCAGTAACAGTAGTGGTCGTGCAATGTCGGTTCACTTAAGCTTTCGATCCAACCCATGTAGCGAGCTTTAGGTCAATGACTCCCAAACCACTAGGGTTTTAGGGCACTAAGTGTAGAACACCCCTAAGGACTTATTAACCCGAGCTGAAAAGGCTACGAAACCAACTAACCACCCTGCCCCATGCCAAAATTCTACCGTTTGACGTGAGAATCACTGCTGATTAGGCAGGACTGGCCGGTTACTAAGCAAAACCTCGGGTGAGACAATTATTACTTTATTCACAATAATAACTGACTTTACTTAAAACAAAAATAAAAAATAAACTTAGACTAAAAGTAAGTGTTTCAATCTCACTTCCCACAAACCATGTTGGTGTGATGTGCAAAGAGCAAAGTATAATTCATGAATTAGTGTCTAAGCAACGATAAATAGAAAAGACTCTACTGTGGGATTAATCTTTACCATGTTCATTTGTTCTAACGTTTAAAATAATCTATGGATATTAACTTACAAAGAATAAAAATTCTTAACTGACAAATCTTAAAAAAAAAAACTGAAATTTTATATTTTCCCACCCCCAAACTTATTTCACACTTTGTCCTCAATGTGTGGAAAATAAATAGAAACTAAAAAAAATAAAACAAAACTGGAAAAAATAAAACAAAAGCCTAGACTAAATAAACTAAAAGAAAAAGGGAAATAGAGAAGAAACAAAGAAATTAAAATAAACAAATAATAGAACAAACAGAAAAGAAGGAAAAGGAGAAAGAGCACCTGGATTCGAACTGAAGACCTGGCGCCAATGAAAAGAAATACGGACCAACATGGACAATGCCACACTTGTGTCAACTTGCGCAACAACTGATATAGAAACAGGTGTAGCAACTGCATTTGTCATTTGAAAAAAAACCTAGCTATTATTGAACACGTAAAGGATTCCCTTCCACTAGCCTCGAGCTTTGCGCCAAAAGACTCTCTTCTGTCCGTTCCCATTCCCTTTTCAGACAAAGAAGTATAATAGTGTTATTTGTGAACCCCGAAGCCTCTTGTTCTCTCTAGAAAAATGGGACACATCTCTCATGGCTTTCATTTCAAACCCATCCATCTATGCTCTCTCTCTTCTGCATGACTCTAAAAAACGCAAGAGCTTTCTGTCTCTTTAGAAATTCAGCCCTCCCTCTCTATTTCACTCAGACCCCATCTCTTTAAAATGAAAAATAGCCATCCTTCCCCCACATTTTTCCCTCATTTCCACAGCTGCTCCTTCATCCTCAGAAATCGAGCACCCCCAAACAGTAATATCAACAGCCGCAAAGATGACACCGCAGATCACATCCCTATCTGATTCCAACACATTCATGGGTAATTTTTATCCACATCTCCCTTTGATTTTTTTTAATTTTTTTATATGCTTAGATTTGGGGAAAAAATGGATGAAAATTATCTAATGCATGTGTGCTTCTGCGGCAGAAGCTGCAGAATGCTGATTCGACATAGAAAAGAACGGTAAATGTCTGGAGCTTATCTAAAAAGGAAAGGTATAGAACATAGATGCCTAACTCTTATTTGTGCATCATGCATGATAATGTTCTCCACATGCTCATAAATCTCTATCTGTGTGCTTGCCTATACCCACTGATGTATATTTGAGCCCAAAAGTGTGGATAATAGAAACTGTATCATGCCTTGATGAATCGTGTCCTTTTTGCTACTTAGATCCCTTAACTTTGTTTCTGCTCTCCGCACTGCCTAATCTCATGAATGTAGAGGAATTGATGATGAATGTGCTGGGGGAATAAATGTTGATTGCACCCCCTTAGTTGGGATTAGGCCGAATCAGTTCCGAATGCAACATGCAATAAAAAACCTAATTAGATAAGTAAAGAAAAATAACAAGAATTAAAAATTGCAATTTTTTTTCTTTCTGATTTTTGTAATTAGGAATAAAAACAGGAAAATAAATTAAACGAAATAAAAAGAAAAGAGTTAGAAAAATTGAGTTGCCTCCCAAAAAGCGCTTTAGTTAAAGTCTATAGCTAGACGTAACGGAAAGAATTGTTCATCACGTCACTTGTTCTTTCAAAGTTAACCACTCTTTAATGACGTCATAGTGCATTGTGCTTCCAAATTTAATGGTTGAATTCTTCTTATACGCCTTTCTTTTTGAATGAATATTTGTAAAGATATAGGTTCCTTTCCAGCTATGTTTATTTCTCCATCGAGCTGACTTAAATCGTGTATTTAACACCCATAGTTTTCGCACTGGTAGAAATTTACTTCAAGGAACTTGGCTGTCAATAAGCTTCCTCTTTTCCATATAGATTTTTGCCTGTTTTCAAGATTCATCTGGCATTTCTTTGAATTTGATGGGCTGTGTAGGTGCACTGTCCGTTACCGCCGCTAAAATTTTCTGATCAGTAAGCAGCTGTTCTATAATTAGATTTGTCAGAGTATTCATGCATTCTTGCTGCTTAATGGGTTGCCTTGGAGTCTCAGGAAAATGCATGAGTGGCACACAAACTTTTGTAGGAGTAGATTCTATGGAAGTTTCAAGGTCATCAGGGGCTGTTTCCTCCTTTGGGCGTGAATAACAGGCAAACGGCTCCTCGGTTCCTGCACCAACCTCTTGATCATCATAACTTCTCCCACGGTTTACTGCTTGAATTTGAAATCCTTGATTGGTTATTTCTACGCACAATTCAATTGATTCCAACAATTTAGATAGTTTGTCCGCCACCAAAAGCTCTTGTGGCACATTAAGCCGCTCAAAATACTGCCCAAGATGCTCTTTCAAACTTTGAGTGTAGAACTTTGAATGGGGATTGTTCCAGTTCCATTTTGAATCGTTTCTCATATTTATATACTCCTGGACATAATCTAGAAAATATTCTCTCTCATGACATTGCAAAATATCATGAGTATTTGAATTACAAAGAGCACAAATCGTAGGCTTAAATCCATAATAACCTGTTTTTGTTAATGAAACCCAAAGAGGTGGTCCACCAGGTGTTAGATTGAATTCAGGAGGAACTGCAAATTCCATTGTTGCACTGCTAAAAAAGAAACAAATTGTAACGAAAATTAATTTTTTTTTCTTATATGTATAAACAGCAATAACTAATTGAAATTCTGATTAGTAGGAATTATTTTAATAATCCCCGGCAACGGCGCCATTTTCTTGATAGGGATTTTACTACTCATATGAACGGGCTAAAAACTCCTATTATACTTGCAAGAATCACAAGGTTGTTGTAGTATAAACGAATCTCTCAAGGTCGTTCCCCACATAGATTATTAAATAATTCAAAGCAATCAAATTTCAATTAATTATTGTAAAGTAGAAATTGATGTGATTGATTTTATAACCTACTTAAAATTAAAAAACAAATTTAATTAATAAAAATAAGACAATCTGCAATATTAGAACTGGGGAAAAAGAAAACAGCTTTGGAAGAAATCAAATTAAGAAAGCACTAGGGTTCCCACCATCACCTAGCAATCCTATGAACTTTTACCAATTACTTATGATCTACACATGCCACTTTGAAGGTTAGATTTTCCTAATTCATATTCTACTTGGAACCTCCAACATAGAACATATATCTAACATGCAACCCGTCCGGACGTTCGGATCAAATCTGAACATGAAGGACTCATTATGCTTTATGAAAACCCTTTGAAAAATCATGCAACCCTTAAGACGTGGTATTCATCCTAAGTGAAATTACAATTATTAATCACAAGAAGCCAACGTCAATTTCAGGGAACCTTCCGACCAAAATTGCATCAAATTACTTTTCTAAATATCCTAAAGGTGATCAGGCATTAAGACAATTAGATAGTTTTTATCGCGGTGATTAACAATTCAAAGTATGCATGCAATCAATCATAAGCAATTAAATAAAAATCACATATTCATGCTAAGGCTCAATGATTCGCCCTAGCAAAAGAAATTAGTTACGTATATTCATAATTGAAATCATAGAAAATATTATTAAGAAAATGATTGAAAACACCTTCAAGTAGAAAATCTCCAAAACCCTAGCAATTCTCTCTATTTCCAAAATTGCATAAAATAAAGCGTATGTAAAACTATAGACGGCCAAGCAATATATCTGCCAAGCCCTCATACAAACCCTAAAAACAGGTCCTTTATTCCCCCTAGGAAACTAAAATTAATAATCAAATAAAATAGGAAACATAATCCTAAATTAAATGGTAAAATTCGCCTAAAATCTGAACAGCCACGTTTTGGACCCATAAGCTACTTCAAAATTGGCCCAATATAGCTGGATTTAATGTTTGGAATATTCTGAACACTTCTCTAGAAGGCCACGAACCCATCCGAGGTCATCTTGGGCTCCAAAAACGCAATTTAAGTCCAAAAACGTCATTTTCCAGCACTGTGCATCGCTCCTTTATTTTATCGCCAGAAAATAACCGGTTGGTGGAAAATCCCAAATTTTGATAATCAAGCTAGGTGGCTCACGAACGTCTTCCAACTGGAATTACTCCAAAATTCGTCCATTTGATCCTATTTTGCTCCAGAGGAAGTCGAAAGTCCTATATTGGAAATACAATTCAAAGTATCAAAATTCTTCCAAAATATTGACCAAAATATACTAAGATTAGAGTAAAACATATAATATAAAATCTACTCATCAACCTACAAAGAGACGATGGCTGCAACTTTACGAGTTGAGCAAGAACATAATGGGAGGTAATGGCTGCAGCTTGACGAGTTGAGCATGAACATAATGATTACATGGCTAAACAAGCTAAAGAGCAAGGCTTCTTCGAATAGTGGAAGAAAGATTACGCGAAGAACTAATTATAGTGGACAAAAGGGTAGCAACAAAGGGGGCAGCAGTAATGGGCTCTTTCAGAAATCAAGACCCAACCCTTACCCTTGTAATAAGTGTGGCCAACCTGGTCATATTCAACGTTTTTGTCCACAACAAATTGTTTCTCAGCCACGTCAATCATTCTTTTCTCCACAAACCAACCAGCAACCCCAGACTTCTTCTCAGAGTGAGATATTTCAACCACAAAGGTCTCGGAGCAGAGGAAAAGATAATAGGCCTTAGGGAAGAGCATATTGCAGTCACTCGAACTGAATCCGTGGGGCAAACTAACCATGCTCTTGTGGAATGTAAAATTCTTGTTTCCAACTTTTGCGCAAAAGTTTTATTTGACATGGGGGCTAGTCATTCTTTCATTTCCCTAGGTTTGGTTAATTTCCTTGGATTGAAACCCGAAAAATTGGATCCTCCACTTACTCGTATAACAGCTTATGGAGTATTGGATGTTACTACCATATTTAGAGCATGCTCTGTAGAAATCTCTAGACATAGACTAGAAGCAAATTTAATTATGCTAGATCTATATCCCTTTGACTTGATTTTGGGCATAGATTAGCTATCCAAGTATTGCGCATTGACCGATTGTTATAGTAGAAAGGTCACCCTACGTTTAGAAAATGGGTCAATTCTTCAGTTGTATGGGAACCAATGAGTGTTTCCTCAAAACCCAATACTTAAAGCATGTTTTGGGGGAAAAAAAACCAGGATAACGCTGCTCTTTTTGCAATCATAGAGAAAACTAAGGGTGCTAATAACACATTATGCATTTCGATTGTGAGTGAATTTCTTGATGTTTTTCCTGATGAGTTACCAAGCTTTCCTTCACAAAAGGAAATCGATTTCGCTATTGAAGTTTGCCCAGGGACTTCTCCAATATCTATTTCTCCATACAAGATGGCACGAGCCGAGCTAGCAGAATTGAAGAAGCAATTAAAAGAGTTGTTACATAAGGGATTTATTCATAAAAGTATTCTCCATGAGGTGCACCAGTGTTATATGTTGCGAAAAGTGATGGAACTCTATGCTTGTGTATTGACTATCGACAATTGAATCAAGTCACTATTAAGAATAGGTATCCCTTGCCTCGAATTAACGATCTCTTTGACCTATTGGGTGGATCTTGATATTTTTCTAAAATCGACTTAAGGTCAGGTTATCACCAATTGAGAGTAAAAGAATAAGACATTCCCAAGACAGCTTTTCGGACCCATTACGGACAATATGAGTTCCTTGTAATGCCGTTTGGATTAACAAACGCCCCTACAGCCTTCATGGATTTAATGAATCAGGTCTTCTATCCATACCTTGATAAGTTCGTGATTGTTTTTGTTGATGACATTCTGGTTTACTCTAAGATGTACAAGGAACACCAACAACACTTGAGAATAGTCTTGCAAACTTTAAAGTAACATCAACTATATGCAAAGAGGGAGAAATGTGACTTCTGGATGACAAAGGTTAAATTTCTCGGTCATATCATCTCAGGCAACGACATATTCCTAGATCCATCTAAGGTTGAAGCGATGGTGAAATAGGAGAGTATTCAGAACTTCTTTCGAATTGTTTCTCCAATGACGAGACTTACAAGGAAATATATCAAATTTGAATGGATGGCTGAATGTGATGTTGCGTTCTAGGAATTGAAAGTGAGATTAATTACTGCTCTAGTTCTTGCCATTCCAAATCCCGAAGAACCTTATGTTGTTTTTAATGATGCCTAGTCGAAAGGTTTGGGTTGTGTCCTAATGCAACACGATCAAGTGATAGCATATGCTTCAAGGCAACTCAAGACACATAACAAAACTATCCCACGCATTACTTAGAGTTGGCAGTTGTGATTTTTGCTTTGAAAATCTGGAGATGTTATCTTTATGGAGCACAATTTCAAAAATATTCAGTTCATAAAAGCTTGTAGTATCTTTTAACACAAAGATATTTGAATTTAAGGCAGCGAAGATGGGTAGAATATAGATGAAGGACTATGATTTTTCTTTACACTACCACCCTGGAAAAGCTAATGTGGTATCCGATGTTTTAAGTCGAAAGTCTGGTGATGTTGCTACATGTATAATGTTAGAGGAGTGGAAGAGAGGTGTATGGTTGCAGATTTTAATTTGTCTCTCTGCAATACTACTTAAACTGCTTATGTATTTGGTGTAGTAGCGAGGCCTACACTAATTCATAACTTGATCCAAAACCAAAATACATGATGATGAGCTAAAAGATGTGATTGCCCACTTCAAAGCGGCGTAGAAGTTGTTGGGTGGAGCATGCACTCTGATAGAGGGCTTAGATTTCAAGGTCGTTTGGTTGTTCCAAACAATACACAGTTAAAATAAGAGGTATTGAATGAAGCGCATCGGTCATGGCACTCTATTCATCCAAGAAGCACTAAAATGTACAGAGATTTAAGAAAGCACTAATGGTAGAAAGGTATGAAAAGGGATGTGGCTCAATTTCTAGCCAACTGCACGATATGTCAACGAGTTAAGGCCAAACATCAAAAACCCGCTGGACCTCTACAATCACTACCTGTTTCTGAGTGGAAGTGGGACAATGTCACCATGGATTTAGTGAGTGGTTTGCCAAAGCCTAAGAAAGGATACGATTTTATTTGAGTGATTGTTGACAGACTAACAAAACATGCCCATTTCCTTCCAGTTAAAACTACATATTCTTTATCAACCTTGAGTGATCTATACATAAAGGAAATTATTAAATTGCATGGAATTCACTTATCAATAATCTCTGATAGAGATCCTCGGTTCACGTCTAAATTTTGGAAAAGCTTGCATAATGCGTTGGGAACAAAAATAGTTTAGCACCGCATACCATCCTCAAATGAATGGATGCTCAAAGCATATGTCTTACATTTTAAAGGTAGCTGGTGTGATTTCATGCCTTTGGCAGAATTTTCGTACGATAATAGTCATCAGTCGAGTATAGGCATGGCTCCTTTTGAGGCTTTGTATGGGAGACCA